TATTCGACTTGTCTCCAATGTCTCACGTACTTATCGGCCCTAGTACCCCCACAACCGTTCCCGCACCATCTTTCAACAACAGTAAGCTATTGGGGGTGAGTCCTGGGTTGTCTTTTGGGCTGGCCGTCATGAGGACGACAGGACGATAGTTCAAAATTCTTTCCATCCCCACGTAGTAGGTGGCTAACGCATCATCATGCAGAGTCCGCTCTTTAGATATAACCGTCAATAATCTGCCTACAGACTGCAGCATCCAAGGTGATGTCTTGATGTTGTTTCGAGTTCTGACGATAGATGTTGGTCATAGCAGTTCATAAGGTGTGAATGGTGCCACTTGATAACGCTTTTGTCACTCAGAAAGGCACTGAAATGCCCAAGTTCTTCCGTCTTCTCACCGGAACAGTCAATTTATGAACTCTTGGCCTTAGACCGTTCCTTTAAATGGACGTTTAAATCGAGACTTAGCAATGAGATAGGAAGGCGTCTAACGACTGCAGTTGGTAAGCCAGAACTTTGGAAGCGCACTACATGAGGTTGACATTGGGGCCGTTAGCCAAAAGTCTGGGGCAGATTGATACATTGCTATAGATATGTAGTAATAATGGGTCGGATATTCGCAAACTGATACGAATGGGAACCACCTGAATAGGAGCAAGTAGTTTGCCGAACAATCAGAAACCTTGTGCTAAAAACTTGACAGACACTTGCTTCCTATGAAGATGACAACAGAGATCAGTCGAGGGTGTCAAAACACCATACACTATCAAAGCAAAGCAGGTTTGTGTCACGTCACAGAAATAACAGTAGGTAGAAAGATCGTTTTCCCATATCACCACGCCATCGGGCGTCGAAAAAGCCACGCCACTTTCTGTTTTTTTTCTCAGAGATTATAGTGTTCAATTTAGATGCATGCCTTTAGGGTCGCAAGCTGTTGACCTGAAAGAATTTGCTATTCGGTGGTCATGTAACGACCATCTGGATTATCTGCATTTTCTAACTCCAGAATCCAAAAGAAATGGTTATTTTTAAACGCATCAACTGGAGCTCCAGAACACATCGTCCTCTGTTTTCGCGGGTCATGACTACTTAGTGGTTTGTAGGCGATGGGTTTTCTGGCCAGTATCACGACCAGCAAGTTCCAGATTTTGATGATTATGAAGTTATAGTACAATGAACATTCTTCGTTCCCGTTTGTTGCAGCTAGGTATTGTGAACGCATTAACCCTTCAGCTAATAGAGGGTAGTTTTGGCCATGGTTTTTTCCCTCAATAATTTATTGGTAGTTATAACAAAATCGACGGTTCGAACCAGTGTTCTTCTACAACAAAAAAAGAGGCAAGGCAGTGGGCGGAGGAAAGAGGCTGCAATTCCAAAGAGGAGTTTGTCCCCCATGAGCACGTTTCTCCCCACTTAATTTTTTTTAGCTACAACGTTAGTCGCACGTGCCTTCTCTATTGAGGACTTGAGAACAGGGTTTCAATGCTATTATACAGTTAAGGACTTTAAATTATGCTTGCTAAATCGGGTGGAGCGGAATGTGTCGTTGGTATGTAGTCAGAATTTATGGTAAATTCTCCTGAACGTGCGTGGTAACGAGACAATCGCTCATCCAACCCAGACGTGGTAGATGGCTAGTTAGACACTGGAAGGGCCTGGTATATTTGGTGCCGTAGAGGGTAACGACGGTGCACTCACTAATCTGAGGAAGCTACCAGCGAGTAGAAGTTCACCTAGTGACCAACTGAACTGATTTGAGGGTCTTGACTTAAACAGGAGGTTAGTTTCAAATCTGAGGGGATCCTACTGGGGATAAATTTTCACGGAAAGAAGACTTGAAAAGCTTCAATATTACGCGTGGCTGCGCGAATCCTAATAAGTGTTGTGTTTTAAATTAAGCTCACCATCGGCTGTAAAGTGGGTATTTTTGCAGCGCCCCGAAGAAATGCGTGGGATTAGTTTAGAGCCGTCTCGTCCAGGTTGGTTCTACATTTGTAGTCTGAATAGAGGGTTGTAGTCCTGTTTGCTCTCGTATTCTGGTTATCTAGATGTAAAATATCTTTGAAAGCCCTCTGTTTTTAGATTGTCGTTGGCGCGAACATCACCCAAATAAGTGCTCAGAATTCTAGAAGAGGATGTATGCAAGTTTTATGGAGCAATAACTAGGCATCCTTCAAGCAGAGGTTACGGATTATGCTGGATTCTAGATCTATGTGCTTATGATGTAACCTGTTCGGAAAATGGTTCACCTGAGCGCTTAGCCCGGGTAGGTAAGAATGAACGCTGACATTTCCATAAAAACAAACGTTAGTGCTTCGCGAGCAAAGCAATCACCCAGAAAGCTAAGCTGCATTCATTCAGTATATGTGTATCCTCTGAGCATTACCATATCAATTGAATATGAACTACTTCAAAGCTGAGGGGTTCGCGAAACGCACAGAATACAAATTTACGTGCATTGGTAGCTAACGTGCATATCATAGGATAGAACATAGTTGCAAAATATTTAGTCCTGTGTGCTTTTTACTGCGCGTCGGCAACAAAACGTTTTACTCCGAGCCAGTTGCATCAAACACTTAAATGGGGTTAGTTAGTTATCTGGACTAGAGAAGAGGCAATGAAACCTACTCAAGAAACCCTGAAATCCCATAGAGAGTTGAGAGCAGTTGAGAAGGACATGTAGATAGTTTGGTCAAAATATTTATGTGCCAGTGGCAGGCGATGCATTCAATCTAATCATGAAAGTGTGAAAAGCACGAAAAGCTGTATTCATAGGGAGATATCATTGAAAAACCAGGAAGTTGAGTCTTAATGAACTGCATTTGGGGTCTTGGATGAGGAGTTATATTTAGAACTCTGTTACTAAGAGAGGAAAATAGATAAAAGTGTCTTAAAGGTCGAATGTAGAAAATAAAAAAGTGAGTTACAAATGGATTTCGTTTTAGTTACTTGGACCTATCAGACAATGTACACCAGTTTGTTTGTTTCCGTCATTCGTTATTGGTGCACTTGCCTTGTCTCTTTTTCAAAATATTTTTTGTTGTTCGTGAGTGCGTAAAGATTAAAGCTTATTGTCCTCTTGATAGTTTCTAACAGTTAAAAATCTGTTTATTTTAGCCCCAACTTGCCTTTTAAGCTTTTTGGCACTTTTGAAATATAATTCAAACTTTACCTTTTTAAGGAGAAGATGGTCGCATATGCCACATGGCATATGTATTGAATATATATTCAATGCACTACATATACATTTTCCCATGTTTCTCTCAAGCATGATTACATACAAACCATTTAATCACGTGTTAAAATAACCCGCAAAAGTTGAAATTATTCCTCTGAATAAGTTCATTTTTTTGTCCCCAGACTAAAAAAAATGTGGGAATAAAGTGTATAAATGGGGAAATAATGGGCAATTCATTTTGGGGCATACCTCAACTAAAACGTCTAAGGAAGCATCGACTCATCAAGTAGACTTAATATATTTAATATTTTGGAGGCTTCGATACATGTAACCAACACTTTAAATCAGCAAATAATCACATCGACTTCAGTAATTGAATGTTTTTTCAGTATATTTAAAATATATTGAATTACTGAAGTTGATGTGATTATTTGCTGATTTAAAGTGTTGGTTATATGTATCGAAGCCCCAAAATATTAAATATATTAAGTCTACTTGATGAGTCGATGCTTCCTTAGACTTTTTAGTCGAGGTATGTCCCAAAATGAATTGCCCATTATTCCCCCATTTTTGTTAGTTTGGGCTGTTTCTGTTGATAGTAAATCTTGCAGAGTTTTATTTTAATAGTAAAAAGAGCTCATTTACCGCTCTGTAATCCTAAAGATAAAGTATTATTTTTATTTCAGCACGCACTAGTGTTCAATTATAAGCTATATATCTCCTAAGTTGCAATGCATATAGTTGGCTTAACAAATAAAAATTTTTCTTTGACCTAGTTGTTCAGCGCTTTTTGAGTGTTCAACTCTTTCTCCACTTCAACCACATCGTTTGACTTGCTTTGTAGTATGGATTATATTTAGTTGTAATGTAAGATTATTTACATAAACTTCGACTAAATGAGTCTACTTGCAACATGGTGGCTTCACATATTCTTTTCAAAGTGCTGCAGAAAATTCATTCAGTTATGCTATCTAGTACATGTGACTAAAATATTTACGTCGCGAGCAAGTTTAACCTACTTTTTCCTAGGAGAATGCCAAATTGTTCCGGAATGCATTGTCGGTAAATAAAAGAAACAATAGGGTAGTCTTCAGTTGTAGAAGCATATATAAACTCTGTCTTTGATCACTGGCTTTTTGTCGGCAGTTGCACTGATTTCTTTGGCTGTAATCAAATAGACTGGATTCGGGTAGAGGTTGCCCAAATTCTGATGGAATATAAATCCGAATGGGATAACAATTTGAGATGTTGACTAGTGGGAACATGCATAAATAACTTTCAAATGAGTTTGATTTTATTTATTTTAAAAAAGTGGTCCCTTTAACAAATTTAGACAGCGTAATGAGAAGACGAAGGTTGTCTGGAACATGTGATGTATTAATGCTTTACATTTTGAACGGTCTGATCACACATGGACTTGCCGAACTATTTATATGAAAATTTACGAAAAGGGTCATCGTAGTCAGTAAGAAACATAGTAATAGGAAGGGAAGAGGGAAAACAACATCCTAACCACGTTACTCTTGGTATGGAAATTAAAATCAGAGGTGCCAAGGTGGGTTCAACGTGAGTACAGATCGTCTTCGTATACATAAAAGGGGTTTAAATTTCATAACTTTTCATATAAAAAGTCCTAAGAGCCCATATGTGATCAGATTGTTCGAAATGTTTAGCGTTAATACATCACATGTCTCAGACAATCTTCATCTCGTCATTACGCTGTTTAAATTTATTTATTTGACCCATTAAACTAAAATTCATCTGATTTTGGATTGGTTTGCGAAAGTTACTATCTTCAGAACCTTTGTTCATTTCTTGTCTTTAGGCACTTGTATCCCAGTTCTTCAAATGGCTATACACTCAAACCTGAACATCCTAATTAATTTCGCTATCCATAAAGTGAGTTGTTGAGAAATTTTACTTAATATCAGCCTTCTCTCCAGTTTTCTTAGGTTTGCTAGATTGCCACTTCTAACTCCTTGTGCTAATTGACACTTGAAGTTTCTTTGTTAGCGTCCATGTCTGCATACATAGCTGGCAGTGAAAATGTCCCAGAACGATACCAGCTCAAAGGTTAGAAATTATATCCCTAATTTTCCAAGTGTTCAGCCCAAATAAAGTATCCAAAAGATAAATGTCTATTTATTTAGATCGGCTGCTATTTTTATGGACACCTATTGCAAGTCGTATATCGCACTTCTAATGAGTCAACCTGTCATATTACGGATTCTAACAGAAAGAATTCTGCCGTAGATCTTTCTCACTCACTAAGACTAGGTAAACGTCATATATTTTAAAGTCGAAGTTTCACCATGGCGACAGAAATTTGTGTACAAAGACCTGTTAAGGTACAGCCAACTGAACCAATCCCAATTTCGTGTTTTCGTGTTTTTCAGCAACTGGTTATCACATACGGAGGAAATCAACCTGAAATATGAATATTTGTTTTGTAGTTTTATAAAGCCGCAATCACTGGATCGTTAATGAGCCATTTTTTGTCTATCCCGAAAGTGGAGGAATAAGGCAGTAGGTGCAAACATTAGTGACGAAGTACAAAAACCAGTATAATGTGTGTACTGGCATATCCAATATTTAACCACTACTGAGTATTTGTTTCTGCAGAAAGCAACTTATGTAATAGGGAAGATATCTACTACAAAATTCCTTATCAGCCTGTCTTCTGCAGAAATGATTGTTCATTAATAAGTCGTAATTTCAACATATATCCTGCTGTGTTCTTCTTCTCCTGAAGTCAAGTAAAAATCTATCATGCAAGTGGACTCAAATTTAGGATATGTATGAACTACATATCTGTGGTAAACTTTGATGATATCTCGGAAGTCAAGGAGCCCTTTACTTTTCTTTGAGATATGGATATCTGTGGGAAACCACAAAATTTATTTTGTTCTTTTAGCTACAGCTTGGATACGGAGATAAATAGGAAGTTATGATGATTGTAGTAATGGTAACGTCACACTATCCTGTAGATCACGCCTTATGTCTGGGATCAAATATTTTCCTGAAATAACTGGCAGTAAAATTCTTTACAATTATCATTATCGTTAGTTTTATTAAGTCAAACAGAAGGCAGATGGGGAAGCTATGAAGAAAAATAAAGGGTGAAGATGAATTTGTGGCAACAGACGTATATCGCAAAATCACTAGATCATAAGATGACACTTTTGTGGATCGAATTTGCTTTTTTCCTTGACAGCTGAAAAGAAACTGATGGCATCAGTTTTTATTCTCAGTCGTTTGTGCATGTAAAGCTTCGAAAACAAGTGATTTGATTTCCAAGGTAAAGCAGAAATCTTAGGTGGGCAACTTTAGTGGTCTTGTATTATCCAACTCATGAAGTTTTCACCAACTTTTTTCAAAAAACTTTTGAATATATTTATGCTTTGCAGTATTATATAATTTAGCTTCGTTGGTTGGCAGTACTGTCTCATGGTCGAAGACTGAATAAAATTACAACCTTTTCTAGTAAATGCACTATCGTTTTGGGTTTGAAACATTTTATCAGTTAGTCATTCAAAACGTTTTTAGATCAGAAGCGCTTTTTCTGTCTTAAGCATGAGATTACACGGAAAAGGTTTCTTTCAAGGAACATGAGTTTCCTTGCCATCAGACATGAAGTAAAAGTCAAACCAGTGTCCTTTCTGATTACTCCTAATTTTTCCATATCAGATGAAGTAAAAATAAACAGAATCAGTAGAAGAGCTAATTTGAATAGAATTATTAGTCAGAAAACAATCAAACTAACATTGATGATCGTTGATCGTGGTATTCAAGTCACATTAAGTAACAGCCTTGTTTATGTTTGTGTCAAGATTTTAGTTGACAAGGTACATGTGGTCAATTTTAATTCATAAAAGTTTTATTACTCAAGAATATGTCATTAGGAATATGATTTCAACAAAATTTAATGTTCATAGTCTTTTTAAAAATCAGCTGAGAAGGAGTTACATCCTTCCTAGACACTGAGAAGTGAAAAGTTAAAACAAATCAATCGAAAACTGAAGTTGTACACTTTTGGAGACAAAAAAGGTGATGAATCTGGAAGTGAGAAGCAGATAATATATCACAAACAAATATCGTTTGTTTATGAATATAAGTTGACAATAGTTGAAGTAAGCGTTACTCTAAAAGGTGTTGCTCACTGGACTTTCAGGAATCTACTACAATGATGTTTATGAGAACACTTTTTTAAGGGTTCGATAGTAGATTTTACTTTAAAATTAACCACTACAGTTGGCTGAAACTCGAAACCAACAAGTGCTTATGAGAAAAAGAAACCTGAAATTCTTTGTGCATTTGTCCTTCGGATACTGTTTGAAGCATGGATTTTGACTGGAATTTTAATTGCAAGAAATTTTATTTAACACTTTTTGAAAATATTAAAAGAGGCTCCAAGGCTTTTCTACCCGTTTTTTTTCACTACACAGCCATAGTGGCCATTTCATAATCACAGAAACAGTAAACAAATCGCCATTCAGTGCCCATCCTCTTTATCAATGATCTGATGAATGATAATTTTGATTCAATCAAATCCGTGCAGTTACCCTCTCAAGTGAGTCTTTGACCGGAATTTATAATTTGAATCTATTTTTGCTAATTTTTCTTTATAGCTGACGACTGAGAGGAAGTGGCACGCTTTTGTGTCCTGACAGATAAGAATTACTATGAAAGATATACCAAAAGCTATAAAGTACTAGGTTAATGAGTCAGATTTGTAGGAGAATGAACCGAAAAATAGACCAGCAAACCACTCAGGTAAAGAAGTTGGCCAGTTTGGACCTGTTGGAATCTGCATACATAGAGATTACAATACAGTTATATGTTTGCAGCACAAAAAAATTGAAAATTTGTGGAAGCGTATGATATTCATTACTTCTCTTCACTGCTTGCTTTGTTTAGAAAAGTTGAAATGAGAAGTAATATGTTCATATAGTCATTTTATTCCAAGTCTTATTTAACTGAAGATGAATGATTAGGTGATATATCTTTTATTATGAGGTGTTTTACTACACACCATCCAGGAAACAAGTGGTTGATTGTTAGTTGTACATAGTTCTCAGTTCTTTCTAACTTCTACATCTTGTTTCATTGAATCATTTGTGGCGAAAGTTGACCACAATATTTAGATTTTGAGGGGTTGTGGAGATTTGGAATTATTTCAAGTTGTTATTCATCGAAGACTGACATCAGTTGGAGGAACAAAGGAAACCTGGGAGCACTGGACAGCTGTTTCTTCCTAGTATGGGACTCCTCAGCAGTGCGCACCCACGACCCCACCAGCAGGGATCAAACCCGCGACCTTCAGGTTCCGCGACCAGCGCGTTACCATTGAGCCACTGGGTCAGAATCCAATGCTCCATATTTCCAACTTCTGTTAGCTCACGATATAGCGCAGACCGCCACCCAATGTCATCGTTGAGTATTTGTCAATATTTAGCCCTGAGGAAACCAGAATATAGTGGTGAACAGATAAATAACAAGGAAATAAAGAGTAACCATGTATTCACGATTTTAAGACAGAGAGAAGATGGGCACGTCTTTATCATTGCGATTGATCTGTTATCAAAATACACAACATCTTGAACTACAATTTTGTGGGGTTTATCAGATTTCAAATAAAGCTTAGGTAGTTCAGTCATAGCTCATTACAAAAGCGATTTTCGACCGCGTTATGCAATGAATTCTTCTTTTTTATTGTTAATTCAGACAGCACGTCACGTCAGGAGAGGAAAACATTACTCATACTACCTGAGTCGATGAAAGTTCAGAACTCCGGGTTAACTTTACTTATCACCGGTAATCTGTAAGTTCATTACAACACCATCGCCTGTACACCACATTATTATTCTCAAGGAAGTAATGAAAGATTTAAACCGTAGTTACCTAAGAATTTGTCGAATGATAAGTTTGTACAGATGCAATCCAGGAGAAATTGAAGTTGGTTAGAAAAGGGTTGAAGGTGGCCGGACCAAAACGTGGTACTAGTTGGTAAAGTCCTCACATTTCCATCTGAGTCGTATGGGGAGATGCAGACTATGTAGCTGGGGTTTTCCAGATAATGATTGAGGACTATTGATGACATGGCTAGAAAATGGTCACAATGGGGCAGATGTATTCATTCTTTGACGTCTTCTGGAGCTTGAATATTTGGGTTAACCGTTATCTTCAGACTGTTTATTCTGTCACACCATTTTGTCTACTTTGATATCAGTCGTTTTCTATTCACTTGTTCTTTTCATACTACTGTAAATTGTTGCAACTTGAGCCGATACACTTGTGTACGAGGTTCTAAGTTCTACGTCTGTCTGTGTATCTATACAGACCGATTCACCTGGAAATGTTTATGGCAAAAGTTTGTTTACATCAAAGAGAAATATTGACGATTGGATTCTGGTCAAGTGGCTCCATGGTAAAGTGCTGGCCACGGAACCTGAAAGTCACGGGTTCGATCCCTGGTGAGGTCGTGGGTGGGCACTGCTGGAGAGTCCCATACTAGGACGAAACAGCTGTCCAGTGCTCCCAGATTTCCTTTGTTCCTCTAACTGATATCAGTCTACGATGAACAACAACTTGAAATATTCCTAAATCTCCATAACTCCCTCAAAATTCAATTAAACGCAAACTACTGAAATTTTAGGATTAACTGTATATAGAAATCATATAGATTTAGTTTTGATCTAGTACTTTTGTCTTATTTTACGTCTTGCAACTATTTTCTTTCCTAAATTTTAGTTTGATTATTGCAATACTTTACCTGAAGGAAGCTTAAATTTAGACAGTATTTTGCAAACCCAACCAGAAGTAAGGTAAGCATGTACATATATACATAATGTTAGAAATTTTAAATCTATTAAGATGTTCTTCTTTTTTTGTTTATTTGAGTATTATTTTTTTTCTAACAGAGTATACTTATTGTAAAACTAGAAACAAATAATCTTTTACTTTCAGCTTGCTAAAGTTCTAATAAGTATGTACTTACATATAAAATTGACAGTGATAGAAATCTGGTATTTATCAAATATTACCGGTAGTCATGTTATAAATTATTTGAACGATAGTTGAAGACATCAGGTTGAAAATGAGTAACTGATATTTTTGATTTAAATCACCTCACAGTACTTCATACTCTATTCACTAGAAATTCAACACTTATGAAGATGATAAGAAAGATGTGCTTATGTCTACCTAATAACAACATGGGCATCATGAATAGTGGATAGTATCCTTTAATAGTTGCAAAAAATCTAAATAAATTTACGATAAAATCAAACTTTACTCTTAACCTTTGTATTAGTTAACTTAGTGAACTTTTGACTAATGGGATATGAAGTAGTATTCGTCATAGATTGACATCAGTTGGGGAACCACTGGAAACCTGGGAGCACTGGATAGCTGTTCCGTCTTAGTACGGGAATCCTCAGCGGCACACACCTATGACCCGGTTAGGGATTGAACTCACGACCATCAGGTTTCACGGTGAACGCGTTAACCATTCAGCCACTGAGTCAGTTCTCAGTGTTTCACAATTTACAACTCCTGTCAATTCACAATATAGCTCGACTATCATCCAAGGTCTTCAGTTACCATCCACTTCACTTACGACTCGTTGACCCCACAGGTCATAGCTTCTCACTAGAATTCATGATATCCATCTGGAATCAAGTCACTAATGAACACTATACAGTAATGTAATACACTGTGTAACTGAAAATTTTGGGTGATAGTCATGCCATATCGTGAATTGACAGAAGTTGGAAATTGTGAACTACTGAGGACGGACCCGGTGGCTGAATGGTTAACGTGTTCACCGGGTCCTGAGTTCGATCCCTGGCCAGGTCGTAGCTGCATACTGCTGAGGAGTCTCACACTAGGACGAGACAGCTGTCCAGTGCTCTCAGATTTTCAATGTTTCCCCAACTGATGTCAGTCGACGATGAATACTATGTCTAAATTAAAATTTCTATTCACCTCAAAAACACATTAATGGGATATGAGTTTAAATCTCACTCTATTTTCAGAGTTCTAATCACACAAGAGAAAGGATGTTTGGTCATCACACGATAAGTGTTCATGTAAGCCTAATCTCTCTGAACATGCAATAGGTTGAATAGCTGTGTTAGTAAATAAGTCAAGATGGGTACTTATGTTTTAAGAATAGGAATTGTCTTAAGTTTCAGTAATCATTATTATGTGATTTATTGAAATTATAGTAGATTTTCGAATAAGTTTGGCTCTAATTTTACTTTTGAGTATTGGAAACTAGAATTTAATGATCTGTTGTGTCTTACACCTTCACAAATCATTAATAGTATACAAATGTAATCAGTAATCATGTGAAACCTACGGCTTTAACAGATGAAATAGTAAGCTTCTTAATATTAGTGTAGAACTTGGGGACTATAATGGAATTTTATTCGATGTTAGGTTTGTTTATTTGATTTATAACACACAGTGATACAATATTATTTACTTGGTTTTGACGCTTCGAGCACAAATCATTGTTCATAAACTGATGTTGATAGTCCTGTCACCTCTTATTCTTTGTTTCTATTGGTGGTCAAAATTTCCATATCTCTGGTATAGGTGTAGCATCATTTCTGTTATATGTATTGGGTATTGATTCGATGAACAAATATTCAGTATTGGACTTGAGTATGGTGGTTTTATCCCACCTACCCAATTGTGTGATTGAGTGTTAATGCATGCATCGCAATAGCTGACTGTTTTTCGAGATTATTAATCTTATTGGGGTCTGTCGCTCTATATTTAGCTAAATTCCTATGTTCCAGTGATCTAACTAAACCTGACCGTCCAGTCTGACCTATGTACCTGACCTCGCAGTCATTACATGGAATTTGGAAGATTAGATTATTTTGCTTAATTGGTTCTAGCGGATCCTCAAGCCAGTCGACAAAGCTTATCTCTGAGTGAATTTGTAGGTTTAAATGTCATTCTTATTCTAGCCCTGTTGAGAAATCGACGTAAAGTTTCTGATTAACCTTCCCTATAGGGTAACACAGTGCAGGCTGTGAACTCCTTTCTACTCGTGTTGTCGTTATAATTCACACTTGTGTTACTGTTATTATTTCGTTTCTTGTGTGTTCGTACGAATTTCTTCATAAACTGTAGAGAATAATTGTTAATTATCAGTGTTTCTTTTAAGTGCTTCAGTTTCTTGTTTAGGTCCTTGTACTGACTAGTCAGTTTTCTAGCTCTATCACTTAGACATTTGACTAAACCTGCCTTAGCTGACATTGGATGAGATGACTTGAAGTCTAGATAGCTGTTAGGATGAATCAGTTTCCTGTAGATGGTAGTATCCAAACCATCGTCTGTCCTTCATTTTAGCCTGCTGTCCAGCATTGATAATTGGATCTTCGTTCATCTAATCAATACCCAATACATATAACAGAGATGGCGCAACATCTATACCAGAGATATGGAAAATTTGACCACCAATAGAAACAAAGAATAAGAGATGACAAGACTATAAAAAGCTGATGTCGAAAGTAGTGTGATTACATTGATATGGTTATGAGCAGTGATAATTTATGCTCGAAACATGATCAAGTAAATAATACTAGATCACTGTGTGTTATAAATCAAATAAACAAATCTAATATGGAATTAGTAAGCTTATTACCAGTGAACTATTGAGTCTTCTTTTTAATGCCTGTTAATTCACTTATTTTCTGAGAACATCAGACTAGAAAGTCAAATGGATATAAAAATCAAATAAGAACCTCAAATCGAAGTTCATAGCTTCAAGTTGCTAGACTTCAAGTAGCGTACAAACAAAAGTGATTGGAAAATGGGAGAAGAGAGGCTAGTCAAAACGTCAAACCTTGAAGATCTCAGAGATTGAATAGATCTGCACCATTGTCATCAAGGGTCTGAAGATTACGGCCAGACTGTTTATACCTGACTGCACAGCTCAGGTGATCAATGGGGGACTTTATGAACTGGAATCATGTCTTTATTTGGTCACCCTTAGTCACTCTCAAATCAATTTTACTTTATCTAAGACTGCATGTAGAGGTAGGCAGTGACTCAGAATGCGTAACACATTTTCAAACCATCTTAGTCATTAAAAGTTCATGACGTCACCGACTTAACTGTCTCCCTTGTTGAGTACTCTACACATCACCCAGGCATAGTACGTGACAGCAAGGCTAGAAATTTTCATGAGTTTCATTTACACTGGAAATAACATTATTATACTCAAGTAAGATATATTGAATGGAGGATTGATGTGCATTAACGTAGGTTATCTTTATTATTCTCTGTTGGTCAGCTTGTTCAAACAATAACAGCTCCATACAAAATCTGAAATTGCTGTAATTTTGAAGGTTATGTTTTCAAGAAAATCATTGAACTAAATTACGAGTGCAAAATATATTCACTTACAAAACACAAATGAAACCATTTTAATTGTCTACATTATTCAATCTCAACATATACTAATCTGAATTATAATGAACAGAGTCTCTGAATTAAGTCAGCTTTATTTTCGTATACTTTGGATTTGTAGCATTCAAGTTCAATGAATTTATATTTCAATTCACTTTTTTGTGGTTGAACAAAACTGATCAAACATTCACTTGAAGTTTATAAGACTATTATGTGAATTCGCTTTTTATTGTTGCCTGTTTGTTCAGAGACAGTCGATTGTTCCCTTACAAGGGGTTTGAACACATCTTTCGGGGAACACCTAATGATAAGCTACAAACAACACTGAGGATAAGCTTGTTTTTAAGTGAAAGAAATTTCGTCATGAACTGACATCAGTTTGAGGAATATTGGGAACATAGGAACACTGGACAGCTGTCTCGTCCTAGTATGGGACTTCTGAGCAGTGTACACCCATGAACCAATACAACAGGGTTTGAAACCAGGACCTTCAGGTTCAATGGTCAGCACGTTACCACTGAGCCACTGGGTCAGAATCCAATGGTTCATATTCCTGTTTCTGTCAGTTAACAATATAGAGCGATCTCTAACCAATGGCGTCATTGAGTAACTGTCATGATGTTTGACGTGGTTGGCTGCACTCCAGGAATCCCTTCTTAAAGCTAGTCCATAATGAATGCCAACTTGAAATCAAAAAATCCCCACAAACCCCAAAATTGAAAAGATTTTGCCTAAGCATGCGATGTTCTCGTTAATGGTGATACACATTTAGAAATTTGCATTCTAGCAACTTAGTCTCCTAGAGATAAACCGAGATATCTTGACTTAAAAATCCCTTGGTAGGTTAACTCAGTGTTTTTTCATCCACATAGTGGAATGATTCTTTCAACGTATTGACGCAACTAGTGACCATACTTGTGTGTCGTATCTTCAGGATAGAACTAAAAGTACATTTCTTGAAAGGTGTAGTTTTACTATATACCAATACAGAGTTTCCATTCGTTTCATAGATGTTGTAACTGATTTATTGAGAGTATATACAAGATTATCAATGTGAACCAATGGTAGTTGGTCAATGGAGAGTAATCCAATTGGGTATCTAGTTCTTAGTGTTTAGCACTGAACGAATTCAGTCAACTAGACCTAAAAAATTTGATCACTAAACAAAATGATGAGGCACACTGGTCCACTGCACTTTGCTGCAGGTTTGAATCATGTTCGCAGATAAGCTTTGCTAATAGGTGCTACAAAGCACGAAATCTAGGTGTAGCGCTTCCTGCCAATCGACTTTTACCATCTAAAACAATAAAGTGTATCTATTTTCTACTATAATTCACTATTGGCTTCTTACATATACAGAATTTATTAAAAATGCCGGAATATTTAATTATTATCC